AGAGAGAGAGAGAGAGAGAGAGAGAGAGAGAGAGAGAGAAAGCACAGACGCCTAGACCATGGGGGAAGTGGTACCAACAGACCACGGAGGAAACACCCTGTCTCATTCAATGACCTTGACCTAACCTTCTATAACGGCTACAACAAAATGTCCAAGCGATCTTCTTCTACTGTTTTCTCGTCTTGAACTAGTTTCACGACCTTGACCTCCTTACTCCCCTTTGAACTTAAATAACTTGCGTATCATGGACATTCGGTTCAAGTGTTCAATGCCAAAATCTTGAAAAGGTTTTGATTACAGTTTTTTTTAATGAGTGGTATTGGCTGCATGTGCTAAAGAAATATTTGTGAGGCAGCGTGGTGGAATCAGGCTCTCGTCAATTTTTGGGTACGTAGAGTTATAGGTGTCATTTTAAAGCTTGTTCACTTGTCTTTATTTCAATGAAAAAAATATCCATTTATCTTGAATACAAGTCGAGATATTTGCGATTGAAGGAGGTAGGGTCACCTGTTTTAAGAGGTAAAATTAGTGAGAAAATGGCCGCCAAAGATTAGTTATTTCCTTAGCTTAAGAGTCCGTGGGAACTGACAATTTACTTTTTTGTGCCTTTAATTTTAATCAATGTTTGTCGGTCAAATCCAGACAGAAATGTGCTCTTTAACGGGCAAGAAAGGTGTTGCGCCAATAAACACAAAGTCAATGAAAATTCACAAACCTGCTGAAAAATGCCAGTTTCTTCACTTTGATTATTTTGACGAGCACTTGATTTCACCACTGGGCCTCACACATTTTGTAAGATTTCAAATTCTATCGTGAATAGTGTGGTCAAAAATTCGTGGCGCAATCTATCCTCAAAATATCTTTCTAAAACACACTGGCTTCACGTTCAGCACGTTTTCAACTCTCCGTTTTGGGGCAGGGAAACTTTGAGTTGATTACACAAACGTACTGACTTCACATTCCTTTCTCCCTCGTGATTAAAAAAACAACAAGAACAACAATAATGAAACTTCAATTCTTACCTTCCACTCCAATATCTTTAGCAATGTTTACCCAATGCTTGTTGACGTAATTTCTGTTTGAGGAATTGTCTTGTGATTTCTCATAAAGTGAAGGTCTCTTTTTCACCGCTGCAATTAGTGCTTCTTCCATCTCGTCTACTCAAAGTCTCAATCAAGTGTCTCAATATATTATACTAGATCTATATAGAGCCTACCCCCCAAAAAAAAAAAAAAGAAAAAAGAAGCGAACAACCCACAGAGTCAAAACATGTAGGTCGAGGTCAGCGTGTTTATTTTTTAAATTGTCTTTTTTGGTGAAAATGGGCCTAAGAATTAAAATCTCGCATTCTATGAAGTAATTTTCATCGCAGAATAAAAATCTGAAGTAAAAAAAAAACGATTTACTGCAATTTTGATTAAAATGAATTTCACCTTTCTACATCCTGACTGTGGTATTTTTAATTAGAATTTCCGCCCCTAGACCGCAGAATGAGGATTTGCAGAGAGCAATTTTTCTGTAGCGGTAAAATCCAAATGGTGAAGGGCGGGCCGTGAAAGTGTGGGGATTGTGATGTGAAGTCAGTGTGGGGGATTGTGATGTGAAGTCAGTGTGGGGGATTGTGATGTGAAGTCAGTGTGGGGGATTGTGATGTGAAGTCAGTGCCACGCCGGGTATAGGTTAAAGAAGACTTCCGTCACATCTGCCAGTTGGGTGACGGTAACAACATGGGGAACGTGAAGCCAGTGCGTGTGCAGCCTAACGGGTGAATCACTGTCACCCATACTTTGTACAGCAGTTTGTATTTGTTTTGTCTTAAGGTGACTCATATTTTTCAGCAACAATTGAGGATAGATCTAGATCAAGATTTAAAACATTTTCTTCATAAATTTATATAAAATACTATAAATCTCTTTCACGTGGAAAATGGAATTGTTCACAGCACTTCCCGCTTCTCACACACATTTAGTGTGCGCGTATTATGGTCTACGTCACAGCTCATCAGTGACACTTTTTAGTGGCAAACCTCGTTACAATAAATTTGTTTTATAGTGGACAATTTTTTGCTGTAAAAATTCTCAAAATATGCGTTCAAAAAACAATCTTGTGATTAGAAGAAAAAAAAAAAGACGGTCTTGCTTTTAAAAGCGATATTCATAGCTGTAAACCTTTTAAAATCTGTAGAAACCACCCATTGGGATTTTAAAATGAGTATTTATTAAGGAATTTTAAAGACTAGAGCTAACAGTTGTTTACAAAAATATCAATCTATGAAGACAAATTGATACAAGTCACTGTGCAAATACTGGAGAGTCTATGCTCAATAGTTGAGGAGATATTTGACAGTAAGCTGCGCCACGAGTTTTTGAACCTTTTTACTTTCTTTGCTAAGTACATTTCAACAGATTGCAGACGACATTGCCTTCAGACATCTACTTCTCATTTTCCCTTTGATCGTAGACCTTTAATGGCGCCAGACACGACCCTTCAAGTTACAGAGAAAGGTCATGACCCTGCAGGTTATTGTGGTCTAAATGGTAAACAAACTTTGTCAACAGGTGGAGGAACAGCATGTTTGATACACACCCAGGGAATGCCTTAGATATTCTCTTTCGTACTGGAATCAGGCTATCGTCAATTTTTGGGCACATCGAGTTATTGGTATCATCTTAAAGCTTGTTCAATTGTTTTTTATTTGGGTGAAAAAATATCCGTTTATCTTGAATACAAGTCGAGATATTTGAGAATGAAGGAGGTGGGGGTCACCTGTTTTCAGAGGTAAAATTAGTGAGAAAATGGCCGCCAAAGATTACTTATTTCCTTAGCTTAAGTGTCCGTGGTAACTGAACATTTACATCTTTTGTGCCTTTAATCAACGTTTTTCTGAACAATCCACACAGAAATGAGTTCTGTAACGGATATGACAGGTGTTGAGCCCAAAAACACAAATTTGATAAAAATTCACAAACCCGCAGAAAAAAGCAGGTTTCTTCACTTGGATTATCTTGACGAGAGCCTGATTCCACCACACAGGGAATGCCTTAGATATTCTCTTTCTTACTGGAATGTTTCTCTTCATTCGGATTCCCTGACCTTTACTTACTTACCTACCTCCGGCTCTGTTTCCGGCGCAGCTCAGTAGCGACGAGGCTCTTACAGATTGTACTTAACTTCCTGCATGTGGTTCAATGATGCATCTGATGCGAATGTACATTTTGTCAGCTTTACTTCTTTTTTCATATTTTGCATTTTCATCAAAGTAAAATATAATAAAAAATTTTAAAATGTATACCTGCACGTGTTTTTACGGTCCTGTACAGTCAAGAAAAATTTCCCTCTGGGAAAATAAAGTATTATCTTATCTTATCTCTCTGACCCCTAAATCCACGAGGATCGCATTTTTTTTACGAGCGCCTGAGTTTGGGCGAAGGATTTCCCTGTCCACTCCGCAATGTTGTCGGTCCACCTCCTTTGCCTTCCTCTCCTTCTCCTCCCCTTCACAGTTCCCTGAAGAATGGTGTTGGATAGACCACATGATCTTGTTACATGGCTATGTCAGACAGTGGTCATTACCCCCACACCTCTTTCTATGTCTGACAGGGGTCATGACCTTTATATGTCTATCTATCTCTCTGTCTATGATCTTTATATACTTTCACATGAAAGACAGAGGTCATAACCTTCACATATTTTCACATATCAGACAGGGGTCATGACCTTCATATATCTTCACATGTCGGACAGAGGTCATGACCTTTATAGACTTTCACTTGTCAGACAGAGGTCATGACCTTTATATTTCGATCGAGGTGGTGACCTTCACATGTCAGACAGGGGTCATGACCTTTACATATCTCATAATTAACACCACCTTCAATGTCTGGCCTTAACACATCTTCACATGTTTGACAGAGCTCATGATATTAACAAAGATTTGCATGCCTGACCTTAACGTATCTTCACATTAAAAAAAAAAGGCCATGACCTTCCTTCAGCCCCCTTCAGAGGTCATGACCTTTATATTTTGATTGAGGTGGTGACCATCACATATCTTGACATGTCAGACAGGGGTCATGACCTTCCTTCAGGCCTCCTCAGAAGTCACGACTTCAGAGGTCACGACCTTCAGAGGTCACGACCTTCACACCTCCTTACTCCGCTGCGGCTGTAGGGTCTTGAGCCTCTCCGCCCTGGAGTTGGTGAACCGGTTGAGGGAAAAGCTCCGGTTGTGTTTGACCGAGGCCTGCCGGCTCTTGACCTTGTCTGACCTCCGACCTCTGACCAGGGACACGATGCTGCTCTTCTTGCCGCCGGACGACTTGACCTTGACCGCTACGTCACCTTCCGCCCCCCCTCCCGCCCCGCCCTGGACTACAGTCTCCTCTTTGCCCGCGGCGAGGGGCGGTTTGAAGGTGTCACTGGATTGCATAATAGGGAAGGGGAGGAGGTTGGAAGCCATGGGCGGGAACACGGGATTGTCGAGCTGCCTGCCTGGGGAGTCGGGGCTTGGGGAGTCGGGGTCAAAGGTCGCTGAACTGTGACCCGGGTAGGCCGCTGAACTGTGACCCGGATTATGTCTCCCGCTGGCGGAGAGGATTGAGATCGAGTTGACGGCTAGCGGGTTGTTGTTGTTGCTGTTGCTGCTGTTGCTGTTGTTGTTTGAGAAGATGGTGGTGGTGTTGGTGGTGGGGTTCGACGACATGTTGACGGCGAGGGCGGCCCGCGGGTGGGGGTCGCGACCGTATTGCAGCAGCCGATGATGTTTACCGCCCCCACACGACAAAGGCGGGCCCTCGCTGCGCTTTCTGTACTGTCTCTGATAAGGTTTGCCCAGCTCCGAGTAGGTTCTGGAGGAGGGCGGATGCCGCTGGTCATCCAACCCCCCTGGGAGTTCCGGAGACCAGTCGCGCTGACCGGAGAGGAGGAGGCGGGGGGCAAAGTCTTCCTCATCCCTGGCCTGACCGCTGCCCGCGTTGACCTTGGGTGGACCGTCTTGCGTCACTCCGGTAACGTATCTACCATGCGCACCGCCACCACCACCGCTGCTGTTGCTGTTGCTGCTGTTGCTGTTGCTGATGCTGTTATCCATGACGTGATCATCACACATGATGACCTCCCTCCCTTCCTCACCCCGCCCCGCACGCCGACGTTGGTGGTCAATGCCCGACGCTGTGACGTCACGTTCGCTCACATTTTCCAGCCCGTCCCTAACTTTAGGAAGGCAGCCTGATAGAGTAGCATGCTCCGAGCCAGCGGGGGGTCTGGGTTCCAGTCTGTCTAGTTCCGACAGCTGCTGCAGCAGCAGTTGTTCTCCGGTAGAAGAAGAAGCGTTGTGCAGAACTGCCGGCACCTCGGAGTCTTCCAGCGTCTGGGACCTCGCTAATTTCGTATGCATCTCCGCCGGGGTCACGCCTGGCAGGTACACGTGATTGGCCCGACCCAGTTTCCGCTGTGCCGGCCCGTAGATGGCGTCTGTGTGGTGGGGGTGATGAGGTGGTGGTGGTGGTGGTGCTGGGCAGGAGTCAGAGGTCACACGGTCAGAGGTCATGACCCCCCTCACGTCTGTCCGTCTGTCCGAGGCGGTGGCGGCGCTCAGTGGGGGGCCCAGGGGACCGGAAGTGCACTGGACACTCATGGTGGTCATCGTGACGTCATCGGACCGGGCGGAAGTGAGTCCTCTAGGGTCGGCTTCCGGCGGAGAGTGTGTCTGAGAGTGTGTCAGAGGGTGTGTCTGAGGGTGTGTACGGAATGAAGCAGATGGTGCGTTGCTGTTGTCTGGTGAGAAAGCGCTGAAAACTTCATCATCGTCTTTATCATCATCATCCTCATCTTCATCGTTATCGTCGTCGTTGTCGTTTTCGTTGTTGTCGCTGTCACCATGGCTAAGTCTAGCCGTGGGCGAATGTTTACGACCTTTCTTGAAGCCGCGTCCACTACCGTACCTGGGGTGGTCCGAGTGACCAGAGTGACCAGTGCTCCCACAGTGAGTCACGTGACTTGAGTGGTCAGTATGACCGCCTCGCTCACGGCCACCACCACCACCACTACTCCCCCCAACAGTCACAGCGTGGGCGGCTGAAGGGTGCTGGCGTGGACACGAATCGGCAACATCCTCTCGTGGAGACTGCACGATACCGCTGCTGCTATTGTTA